AAATCCTGTAACTACTTCTTTAGATTGATACCACCTGTAAGGAATATTTTCAATGTTCTCATTTAAATTGTTCAAGAATTCTCTGTTGCTATCTTTCTTACTGTTAGACTCGGACGACAGGTCATTATAAATCTTTACTAGATGGATACAGTTGCAGTCCATATTTATGTGATTATTATTGTGTAATTTAAATGTAAAACAATTAGCATTTTTTACTGGAAGTGTATAGTGCGGTTTTGGTAAGAAAAACTCAGAAACTGAGTTTCCATCACTTTTTTCTATTAACACAAAGGTGTTTGTGAGGCTCATTGGTGAAGATATTGCATCTTGAAAATCTGAACACTCTAACATGGACCTAAAAATTCATTTCAAATATAGTTTAAACAACGCCGAATGTTAACAGAAGAGTTATTAACTATTGTTTTACTGACCTCATTAGATTTAATAAAGGTTTCCTAGACGCGTGTTTATATTCGCAATGCTGCCGGCTATTGAGAATGTCCAATGGAAATTCTAATCTAATTTGCAGCTTTGGCGACATTATGGTGGCACCAATGAGTATAGCAATCCCTTTAACTTTGCAGTTATTAAGATGAAATTGCGAGCTCAATTGTTCCGACGTGTCTTTCATAGACTTCAATAATGCTTTTATGGAAGATGAATTTCTATCCGTTGCTTTCATATTAATTTGCAATTGAGTCAACGAGTCGTACGTAAACGGTATCTGTTGCTTCTGATACAAAATATATTTTAAAAGTTCTATCACTAGTTTCACACAACCATCACTTGTCAAAGGTTCGTCCAATTTAACATTAATATCCATTTTGACTCTCGTCTTTTTTTGATCACGCTTTGAAACTCGAAACAATCCGGCGCATAACCTGTTTCAAATAAAACGTTTCGTTGAAATATTATTCTTTCGAATTTGCGAAAACACGTTTCATGTTTTTTTCATGATAAGAAGCGTGTCAATTACATTACAAGCAATATTAAGAATAATATTATTTAAAATTATGTTGTCAATAGACCGCAGTTATAATCGCGTCATGTACTAATGAAAAATGAAAATTAACCTTGCTCAGACAAGAAGTATGTATGTATTCATTGTACAATGTGTATGAGCATACGTGTATGTATACGTGTAGTACAGTTACTCTTCCTCCCTAAGCAAGCGTTTGTACCTCCGCCATTTTTACTACGCATTCAATCTGTAATGAATTCTGTCTTAGCGCTGAATCGTCAGCCAATCAAAGCAAAGAAATTTCTGTACCCGTCTGCATCAAGAAGTCCCAAGAAGGCCCAGAGTCGTGCAGGAGTTAGAGCTATATACAACTAATGTACACACGTATATATATATATATAGTATATAATGTAAAGTTATATGTCTGTATGCATTCCTACAGTGACTAAAGCTCATATCGCAGTGCAATCATAACAAAATTTTAATTTTATCCAACTACAGTTTAATTGTGTTTTAGTATTTTAGTATTTAGTGGTGAATGAGGGGAAATTAATCTGCATAATAAAATTTTAATGAATCTGTAGGATAGTATAGTAATGCTTCACCATAATAAGCATTTTTATCCCCACCATTTTAATGCGCATCCAGCTCCGCGCAGCTGCTTTGGAAAGAGAACGAAACGAGCGGGATATATGGCGAGTGTCCACACAGACGAGAAACCTATCCGTCTCACTTTATCGTGCTTGCGGTCTCACTCTTTTCGCGCATGCGTACGCCTGGCGCTCCATCTGAAACACATGGCGCGATATTCGACTTGTACTTTTCGTGCTGTTGGATTCTCGACCACACAGTTCAGCGTATTTACGGATGCCTGAAACGGCGATAATTTCTACAATTATTAAAATTATCGAAAACCCGTAAGCTATATTTTAGATATAATACTTTCTACTTTGTGAATCTACAAAATTTTATTAATTCAGCCATCCCAGTACTCGTCACATGTGACAAGTCACTTGTCGACCTGCGAAACATCAACCAATCAGAGAAAAGCAATGTCTTTTCCTACCCCCATATTTTTAGGCGCTTAGCTTCCGGTCTCCGACTCGAATTGCATTCAAAACAAACTCCGACTTGCATTCATAACAAAATTTTCATTTTATTTAACTACAGTTTAATTGTGTTTTAGTATTTTTGTTAGTAGGTATGTACTTAATAATGAATGAGAGGAAATTGATCTGTATAATAAAATTTTAATGAATCTATAGGACAGTTATAACAAATTGTATCGGACAGTGTAAACAAGTGTTTTAACTTTTGTGTAAAATTCCTTAACTTGCTGGTGCGGTGGATACGTAGTATATGCACGTAGTTTCACAGGCGGGCACTCGGAGCGTTAGAGTTTTGCGCGAGTTACGCTCTGCACCGTGCATGGTTAGCGGCCGTTTCCGCTTTGACTCCTCCCGAAAACAAAATAAGAGTAGAGAACGCTCTCGAAGGACAGAGTTTTTTGCTCGAAGTCAGGACCGTGTGGCGCGAACGCGCGTAGTTGACCGCGAATCGTATTTTGCGCGGTAGATCTGGCTGCTTGCCAAGTGCTAGTCTAGTTGCCTTTTCCTTGTCGAGCAAGCGTTGCGTATTTATATATTGTTTCCTCTTTTTTAATAAGGTTACGTTTAATTGTTACATTCCATGTGTGTGTTTAATCCCGATGATAGTGTCTGCCGCCGCGTGTTGGTCAGGTTACGGACGCAAGGGAAATCGCAATAAGGAGATTCAGAAAAATAGAACTCGCAACCTCTAAAGTGAAGGTACACGTCGTATTCACCGTTATTCTTCGGCTACATCAGACCATCGAACTGCATACAAACAGACAAAAATGGCGGAGGTAAAGTCGCGGCGCCTCGCGCAAACAGAAGATTTATCAAATGTTGAGTTTGAAACCAGTGAAGATGTGGAGGTCATTCCGACATTTGATAACATGGGACTCAGGGATGAATTGTTACGAGGAATCTACGCCTACGGTATTATAATAATTCTATATTTTTGCGTAGCATGTAAACATAACCTATCTGCTTAGTGTTTGTTTGACACGTATGTGTTTTACACGCACACGAAGACGTCATTGATAGTCACTATTAGTTTCATTTCGTTAATATTATTCTCATTTACTCGTAATTCTTATAGACATAATATTTTTATTATAGGTTTCGAGAAACCGTCTGCAATTCAACAAAGATCTATCAAACCTATAATGAAAGGACGAGATGTGATTGCACAAGCCCAATCGGGTACAGGAAAGACGGCAACATTCTCGATTGCTATACTACAGTCTTTAGATACACAAGTTCGAGAAACGCAAGTCCTGGTTCTTTCGCCTACGAGAGAATTAGCGACTCAAATACAGAAGGTTATTCTGGCATTGGGAGATTTTATGAATGTACAGTGTCATGCATGTATCGGAGGTACCAATCTAGGAGAAGACATTAGAAAATTAGATTATGGACAACATGTTGTATCTGGAACACCTGGCAGAGTATTTGGTAAATATATAACATAGTTAACAAAGCCGACGTTACAAACGTAAAATAGATATATATTACAAACGTAATATGGATAATTCTATGATATTTTCAGATATGATAAAAAGAAGAGTTCTCAGGACAAGGGCAATTAAGATGCTAGTCCTTGATGAATCAGATGAAATGTTAAACAAAGGTTTTAAGGAACAAATTTATGATGTATATAGATATTTGCCACCTGCGACACAAGTAGTATTAGTATCGGCTACATTACCTCATGAAATCCTTGAAATGACCAGTAAATTTATGACAGATCCAGTTCGTATTTTAGTTAAACGGTAAGATACAGCTTTATAGATTCAACTTTGAATAATTGTTTCGACAGTAATAATTCATGATTAATTGCAGTGATGAATTGACATTGGAAGGAATAAAGCAGTTCTTTGTCGCTGTAGAAAGAGAAGAATGGAAATTTGATACGTTATGCGATTTGTACGATACACTGACAATAACACAGGCTGTAATATTTTGCAACACCAAGCGGAAAGTAGATTGGTTGACAGAAAAAATGAGAGAAGCTAATTTTACAGTCTGCTCAATGCATGGCGACATGCCTCAGAAAGAAAGGGACAATATTATGAAGGAGTTCAGATCTGGTCAAAGGTATGTTCACTAACGTACATTACTGTAAATAAAATGTTGTATGATATTTACAATATTTTTTTATTTTACAGTCGTGTACTAATAACAACTGATGTCTGGGCAAGAGGAATAGACGTGCAACAAGTATCGCTTGTAATCAATTATGACTTACCCAACAATCGTGAGTTATACATTCATAGAATAGGTCGGTCAGGTCGTTTTGGCAGAAAGGGTGTTTCTATAAATTTTGTTAAAACCGACGACATCAGGATTCTGCGAGACATTGAACAATATTATTCCACACAAATTGACGAGATGCCAATGAATGTAGCGGATTTAATATAAATATTAGACTAAACGACTGTATTAACTAAGAATTTAAACAAAAACTCCCCTGTTTTTTCTGCATTACTTTATTTATAAAAAAAGAAAAAAGTTTGGAACCTTTTGAAGATTGCAATTAAGTATACACATGTGCATATTTTTAGTCTTCAAAAGTTTTGTATCAGATGTCGTACTTATTGTTAACTTAAGTATAATGTATAATATGTATAATACAATGTATAGTTAACTTAAATGTAATTTGTATTACAATTTTTATATTGTATTACATCTAACACAATAAATAGAGTTATGACAGGAAGAAACTACAGTATTTATTATTGTTGTGTAGAATATATGTGTATTGCTGAGAATAATGCTTTGATATGTAGATGCATATTGTTTACTAAAGTAAAAGTAAAAGTACACTTGCTGTTAGAAGACCTCATACTACTGAACTGAAATAATCAATAACTGGTTTCCCAGTTTAGATGGCAGCAGAGCAGTGTTTTGATTTAACATTTCACAAACATTAATCGGAAATTTAATTACACAGTAAAATTCTACTTGCTCTGTACGAAAAATTATCTTCTTTTTTTAAAACATGAACTGCAAGTATAATACTGTGCAAAATCTTATACATTGTTCACATCAGAATGTTTGATTTGGTAGTGGACTCAGTGTCAATATTTACTAATAAAAGGATAAAATGTGAATATAACAACATATATTTTTATAAAATTGAATACTTCAGTAGTAAATTGTAAATAAGATAATCCAGAACTCTGGTTGCGCGTGTTCCCGAGTTAAACACCTGTTGCGTCCCTCTAGTCGAATTTCAAATTTCAGAGTCGGACTGTGCGAACACGTGTGCACGTGTTATCGAAAAACCTGACACAGATCGAACCTGTGCACGCGTAATTCTGTTCTTCGGAGTACGCCGAAGAACAGTTTGTATTCTGGGGGATCGCGCAATGCGAATGCGAGCGATTTTAGACAAGAGATGGAAATGATGAAAATGATTTTTAATTATCGATGAAAACCATCGATAATTAATTTACAAATATTCCTTATCTGAAANTAAAATGTGAATATAACAACATATATTTTTATAAAATTGAATACTTCAGTAATAAATTGTAAGTAAAGTACAATGTGAAACAATCATTATAGAGATAGAAATTGAAAAGTATGGAAGCACAAGAAGATTGCACTGTTCGAAGAGGACAGCCAATTCGTCGTTATCAAAATGATTATAAGTCTGAAGGGCATACATCAACCAGTAAGTAATAATATTATTTACTCAAAAAAAGTCATTTCAAATGTATGTTAATGTTCATTTCTTTCAGCAATGATGGGTAATCAACCTCAATATTTGAATGTAGGTAGACCCACTGTTCGAATAGCTGTTTACTTGATGACTGGAATGTTTTTAACAATGGACATTGAGCAAAATTTTACCGCACAACAAATTCTGGCAATAATACAATCCGAGGGAGAACTAGGATTAACCAGAGCTTCGTTGCTTACTGGCCAAACAGTGTTCGCTTTGTGGCTTTGTTCTTCCAGCTTAGAAGTTCAACTACGACCAAATCACAAACCTATAGAACTAGCTGCAAAATGGAATCGTTTAGTAAGAAAATACAGTTCTCAAAGTGAGGAGCGTGGTGAGGAACCTTTATTGTTTCTTCGAAGGAATGTATTCCTTTCTAGGGCAGATGAGGAACAAATAAAAGAAGCTAAAGTATTGGAATTATTGTACGCAGAAGCTAGAAATAATGTACTACAAGGTAAAAGTATCTATGTTAGAAACCCTATTGATCCACAGAAGTCATGAAGAAAAGAACTAATTTTAGCATATTCATTAGGACGATATCCATGCGAAGGACAAGCAAGATATGCAAGTTTGGGTGCCCTGCAAGCCCGTATTGAGTTAGGACCGTACAACCCACAAACTCACACATTAGCGTTTTTCAGACGACATCGTGGTAGATTCCTACCTCACCATTACACTTCTCCTAGTTTATTATTAGGATTAGGTCTGGGACTAGGATTAGTGGGAGGAAAAGGAGCACCAGAGGCACGTCTGCTTGAACAGTACAAGCGGATACCTAATCATACAGGAACTAACGCGAATTCAAGAAAGCTTATCAGAAAATACTTGGAGTTCTGTTGGAGTTTACCGTGTTATGGCGCGGCGTTTTTTCAAGGACAAATCGAGCGACCTGTGAGAGGTTTAGCGTCATGGATCACAAATCGTGATATGCAAGTTCTAATAGCTATTAATTCTTCAGGAGTGTACATCGTGGATGACATGCAATGTGTAAGGAATTTTAATTTTTGCATGTACAAAAGAAATTCATAAATTTAATATCTACTTTCGTACAGAGCTTGTTATTGGGCCTGAGATATTCAGAACTCAGTTGGGAAATGGCGAAGCCTTCCGACGAAGGTAATTTGGACTGCCTGCCTTGTCTATTTCTACAGTTTCCGGTGCGAGAAAACGGAGCACGTGTTTATAAAATTCTACAAGTATTCTCGAGACAAGTATGATTTATTTCTTCTAAATTGTGAAATGTGTACAAAAGAGTTATTGAAAAAGTTCAATTATTTTTAGGCAATAATGATGGATACGTTAATATCTGGATTTGCTGAGGAACACCGCCGACACGGTGCTAATGGAGACGTTGCGCACGTTGAACGTTTAACTGATCATTCAATAGGTTCGAACACAGGCAGCTTCACGAACAAACTTAGCAAATTTACATTGGCCACCTTCGACGACGAAGGTACTGATGTAGGAAGTATTACATTTTACTAATAAATACGTAATATTTATTATTAAAAATGTATTTCAGGCCGTTGTATCGGACAAATGGGTTCTTGGTCTTTTCAATAAATATTCTTGTTTATATCAACAGTTGAATTTCGTTTCTAAATTATACCGCAAAATACGCGCCCCGGAGGATCGCTAAATGCGTACTTTGTTTTAAGTGATCCACCAACATTTTGTACTTTTCCGGAACTAAATTTCTGTGACGTGTCAGCTGGGTTTCTAAAGTTATCATGTCGAAATTAATTTTATTCATTTCATCTAGTATTTCTTCTTCCTCTTCGTGGGTTAATTCCTCACCCTGCGCAAAAAGTTTATATGAATTATTCGTTCATATATAAACTGTATATAAATCATTTCACGAAAAGTAAGAACAAGTTTTACTTGGAATATCAGTTTTTGTTGCAAGCCCGTAACTTTCTGCGAACATTCTTCAAATTTCTGTAAAATTTTGTTTGCTCTGCGCACAAGTACTTGTTTATAGTCGTTAAGGCATTGGAGTTGTAGCGATTGTGCCTCTTGTTTGGATAATTCCTCTGGATTTCCCAATCGTGCCAAAAATGGTTTCAGATAATCCACGATGTCCATCGAAGATTTTTCAATGTGCACAAGTGACCAGTCCTACCATCCAACAAGTAAAAACATAAAGTGATGAAATTAACAAAGATTTCTCATTTGATTGTTTCTGTACCATAATCTCGGACATAGATTCTTCGTCTCTGGTCCTACTGAATATAGATACTAATAACTTCGGCGATAAATACTCGTCATCTCTGATTTTTAGGAAGTTAAACACTTCAACTTCAGCACCCCTGACGGACATTGTAGATTGATCTTCCTCTTTAAGTTGCGTGTCCAGTTCGCAAAATAATTCGTAAACTTTTTCGTGCTCATTCGAAGGCTGTGCGAAAAACAATAAGATGGAAATACATTTTCGTTAAAAATTATCGTGTTATAAAAATTGTTTAGAAAGACCGACATTATATCCTTGTGTCATGTTAGGCTTTAATTTTAATCGGTCCCCTCTTTCCGCCAGCGGTGGTTTTATAAACATTCTACTAGCTCTGCTATATTGTCCAGTTTCATAATGGTACAAGAGCCGTATTTCATTTTCGTCGATAGCAAACTCACGGGTTGCTATATTTTTATTGCTTTTGATCGTTTCATCTCTGTGAAACTCTTCAATGATTTTCTGTAATTTAAGTAATGTACTATAGATCCCTGATTAATCATAAGATACAACATTCTACTATACCGATATGTGCCGATAATGGATGTCCTCGGTATTGCGAATACTTTTTTCTGGCGAAAATGCCGCGTATCTGTTTTCAAACCGTTAAGAACTTTAACTTTACCATTCAATCGAATTATAAACTATTTTACTTCTGTACCTGTAATGTAGAAAATCGTCTCGATCGATAAAATATTGTTTTACATAAGTGGGGTGCATTTCCAATCGTGACAGTCCATCCAACCGTGCGACATGATAAAATTCCAAAATACGTTCCGCGTCCACTGTATTTGGATCATTTGAAAAATAGCGATGTTCTGTAAATTTTACCATCAAGAGATAAAGAAGAAAATTAATCAACATCTTTGAATTTCGCATAATACCTTTGCATTGATCCGGCCGGCCTCTCTGATAGAAATCAATCACAGAATAGTTCGTCAGATCTTTTTTACACTCCACAAGATTGTCCGATCTATTCGCGTAAATTTCTTGAATCTCTATACAATTTAGGTAACTATAATCATCGTATTTAGCGATTCGTTGTATTAAACCGTCTAATTGCAAATACGGCGTGAAAAGTTCAACCTTCGTCTTTTTGTAGAACATCGTTTTCCTGCCATTTGGATATCGTTTCTCAAATTCTGAAATATTTTATTGCAATATATATTAAGTAATTTATAATATATTATATAATATAATATATTATATAATTATAATAAATATACAATAAATAATAATTAATATTATTATATATAATATAAACATAGAGTGTTTAAACCTTCGTCACTGATCTGTATCTCTTGCACGTAGGAAATCGGCATATCCAGATGTTTCTCTTGCAATATCGCCGTATCTTCATCGATAGCCTCTCCTATTCCGCGCATTGCAAACGGTTCTCCAGGAAGCATGTGCTCCCATAGTTCCAGCCTCGTCAAGTCCCATTCTATGTCCGAGCACGTTTGCGAAAACGGCTGCAGGTTCACCCAATAATTTTCATCGTTCCATATACTTTCTACACCCAAATACAGTCCATACGTGTTATCATATGTTGGATTGTAGGATACACCGGTGGATGGTTCAATGAAAAGCGGCCCAGAAAACTCTTGGTCTCTTAATCCCCCTAATTCTGGTAAAATTACAACCCAAGCATGTATTCTGTATCCATAATATTTGTCTGGCTGAGGTTGTTCCAGTTCCTAAAATCAAAAATTAATTAAGATTAAGAAAAAGAAAAGAACCATGCCTAGGGCCAATAATTTATAGAAATTTTAATTACCTCGATTAGTCTTTGTTGCTCCTCTTCCTCTTGTTTCAATTTGTCTTGCAACCGTCTCTGTTCCTCCTCCTTCAATTCCGCTAAAAATTCGCTTTCATATTCTATCGCGGGCTTCAAATCGTACTTCGACACTTCAACTTGTACCGTCGAAGGAAATGCAGGCGGTTCCGGTTGTCGCGCATAGGGGTGCGTAGTTCGAGTCAGATCGCACACAGTTTGCTCCCTGGATGCGTAGCCGCTTACCACGAACGCATTGTAGCCCTGGCCCAGCAGCAAGCTCGTCAAAAATGTCGCGCACTCGAAGCAATTACCCTTCTGGAACTTTTGCATCCAAGTTGGAGTACATAATTTTCTTGGCTGCAAACGATAAAATAGGAATTATCATAAACCGATACAGAAGAAAATCTACACATCGACGGCCGGTAATGGAGAATACTTTCGCAACGACCTCGGCGATTTCGATGAATATTCATGTACTCTGCGTTACCGGTTGTCGTCAAATCATAAAGGATCACCAGTTACCGTTAGCCTCACGTGAAAACGCAGAAGTAATAATAATAACAATACCAAAGAGTAAATACGTCGCGCACACACACGCGCGCGCGCATACACAGTTAGTAATCGTTCACACGAGAAGTATACACATTGAAACATGCCGGCGAGCACGTGGCAGCTCGTGCGTATTCTCGGTCCCTGACCTACGTCACCGTATTATGATCTACGCGTAGAATTTACTGCATCGTGCCGGCGGGAATCGCTGAACGGTACAGAAAGAGAAAGACGAAACAACCGAACAAAAGGAAAAGGGGATCACTGGAACACGGAAAGACGGCGCGTACACGACATTAAGTCCGTGAAAAGGGTCAATCAATCGACGCGTCCCCGCGAAACAGACACCTCCGAATCCATCATTTCTTCGACAATCGTATCGCGATCTCGAGGTTTTGCGCGAGGTTCGTTCGTTTCCGATCAATTTCGAAAGTTCCGAAGGGGCATCGAAAATTATCGAAGGGGCGCTTTCCGCCCTTTCGTGTGTCTTCGGACCGGTGGGAGAGGAGGGGGGGTGGGGGGTGGTGATGGTGAGAGGTCAGTCCTTTTTTGCGAGACGCGTAAGCCTGGGCCAGGGTAGAGCGAGATGGTCAGTGGGTGGTGGCGGCTATCCCTCGACCCCTTCACCCACTTCCGCCCTCTCTGTCCACCCGGACCTAACCTCACCCTACCCTCCGACCCCACCCCCCACTACTCCCCACCGGCTTCCATCACCCTCGGTCCCGTTTCCTCGCCCATTGGCGTTGCCCACCCGCTCGCCCCACGTCCCTCGTCACCCTCGTTCCGCCGCGACCCCTTCAACCGGCACCCACGTGGGACGCAAGACGAGGGTGTGAGGTAGCAGACAACGCGGAGATACCGCTGGCGCGCCGCGCCGTGCCGCGCGGCAGCTGCGCTCAGTGTTTCTCAACCATCAACTTACGTGTCCTGAACGCGATAATTTACAGCCTCGACGGTTCCCGTCGTCTCTCTGCGGCGTGAATATCGCGAGATATACGACACCCGCCGCCGCTATAAATACATCCCCCTATACAGGATTTAACGACACGCCGCCGCGGCTCCGAGAAATTAACAGAGATCGCAGACTTTTCGGTAATCTTCGTTCCCCCCCGGATACGTATCCCGAGGCCGTGGATTTTCCTGGTCGTCGCGTCGCGAATGTTTTTTCGAGCAGGACGACGTGTTCGCGCGTGAAACTACCCGAACACGTTTCGGGTCGACGATTATCTTTCGCCTCTTTCTCCCGATCCGGATCAAAATGTACGATTGTTTCCCGTGTAATACGTAACGAACTTCGTTCCAGATGCAAATGAATCGGTCGATCGCAGATCGGTAAACCCGTTTGCCGATCGGCGAGTCACCGGATCGTGTGTGCGCGCACCATAAATTCCGATATGTATATACGTCTTACTTTCTCGAGGGCGAGCTTGATTCGCTCGCGAGAAGATTCGAAGACTTTCGCATGGCCACGGAACACATCCGTTAAAGCGGATAGAACGACGTCCGAATAGCTCGACGACTCTATCGAACGCGATACACGGTACAGGATTATAACGATCAAGCTGGAAAAATATCGAAAGTTTCGAAGCCCCGAGAGCCTCAAGGTTCGCGCGACCTTTCCCAGATATTATCAGCGCCGATACTTCGATCGCGGGAACCGTGTTTACCGTGGACACAGCCATATGTCGCGGCGCCTCGGTCCGTTACGTGCGGTTAGTTAGAAAGATCGTCGACGGTGCTTTACCGTTATCGTTCAAAAATCATTTGCCCGATTAATAGGACCGGTGAGAGATTTTTCGAACGAATCTAATGCAGACACGGGCTATATATCCAACGTTCACGTATTTACCAAACGGAATCCATTGAGGCGCAGCGATGCTGATTTTCTAATTAATTTTTAACCGGCCCTAAAATTACATCACTTATCTCAACTGTCGATCGGCTGCTTATTTACGCGCGCCGCGTTTACACGAACGCGACCGAACCGTTTCTTTCGGACGCTCGATCGAACGTGGAGGTTATGTCGCCTCGAAATTCGTGATCGTTCCCTTAACCCTTTAACGCACAGTTTTTTTTTGAAAAAACCGGCCAAAAAGAATCAATTCTTGGTGGAGAATTTTGATATACTGCACTTTTGTTCCATGGAAAAAGGCCATATTTTATTCTCGATTATATTCGAGCGTGAAAAATTATAGCAGCATAAAATGCAACGCCGCTCGAATTATCTCGAGCGTGCACAGTTTGACCTGTTTGGCGCGCTCGAATTAACCCGAGCGTACGAGTTAAGGGGTTAATCTTCGCAAGGATTCGGTTATTCGATTTAATCGAACGATCGAGAGGAATGCGAATAATAATCGAGAATCCGGCAAGTCGGGAAGCGTCGAAAAATAAAAGATCGTATTTTCGTCGAATAGAAACCGGTCGTTCGGCCGTGAAACGTTAGGGAAAACGATCGATTCCGAAAGGACTGGAAATCCTTTAATTCCGTCGTGTACAGAGGCCACCGATAATTCCGCCACTCGGCTCGTCCCGCCCTGGGCCGATCTACGTCCACGGAAGTGGACGTGGCGGACGTGATTTACGCCGAGACGATGCTCGTGGGTATCGGTCCGCGGGGTACATGATCAAAGCGCGACGGTCGAAAGCGCGGATCGAAGCGCTGATTGGTCGGGCTCGGAGCGGGGTGCCGCGAGATAGCGCTTTTCGGGACGCCTCGATGTCGTGCTCGCCGCTGTTGGCCGCCGTATCGAGGACGTTATCCGTGGACGCGACCGGAGTGCTATGTGTGCCTCCACACAGGCGCGCCCGGGGGGGAACACCGACGAGCGTACACCGGATCTTGAGCGTGTTGGCGCGCGCGTTGGGAGATGGAACGACCGAGGGCGAAGGAAAGGAGGAGGGACCGGGAGGAAGGGAGACGGCGATAGAGTGCCGGAGAGAGAGGGAACGCGTCGCGCGGAAAGGGAGCGAGTGAGACCGCGACAGGGAGCGAGGCCTAAATCAGGGGCGATCGCACCGAGCGACGTCGCTATCTCTCTGAATATGCGAACCACTATTTGGCGTCCGCGGCGCGTACCTACCTAGTACCCGGTATTACTAGATACTAGATAGTACCTAGCCCCTGCTGCCGCTTCCTACAGGCTGAACCACGCAACTTACCCGCCGCGTTCTTGCTGCTCCTAGTTCGACGCGCTTTCAAACGGCTATCTATTCTTTCCGCGATTATTTCGCGTCGCGCGACGTCTTCGACATAACCTCACGGTCGCTCGCGCGCGGAACCAACTTTATTCGCTTCTCGTCTACTTTGTCGACGTGATGAAAACACTGACGCATCTTTGGTGTATAACTTGCTTTTTTTTCTCTGTTTCACAGAAAACGTCTGGAGCATACCTTCGTAGCCGCGATAGCCGTTTATTTCTGTGTCGCGACCTGTAAGTCTCGAGCAATGAAACTTCCGAGGAACTTCTTTAAACCGTGAATGCTTTCGCCCTTTCGCCAAGACCTTGGAAACCGCGTAGGGTATAGTTTTCGCAACAAAAAGAAGTTTGATACGATGTTAAACGCTGTGATTAGGGATTGAAGAACATTGGCACAGACAGTTTTTAACCTTAAATTTATGAAAAATTGTCGCGATGCCGCTGTACCGTGGGATGTGTTACAAACAAACTGTACGTGACTTTTCAATGTTACTATATTTTTCGACAGAAACGTAATAGCTGTCCACCCTATCTCGGGCTCACAACACGTGGGTTGCAGGAATAGGGTGGACGTTTATTACCGACCGTTGGCCCATCTCAGACCACAGTATATCATATGCATTAACGAACTATAATGGGTTAGTGTACTGATATATGTATACGTACACGGTTTCAACTCTCTCATACGCTCTTCAAAAATAGTTACAGATCCCGCGATAAACATCGATTCCATTTCGAGTAATACGTTTTAATTTATTGCGTCATCGATCGTTTCTATTTTGCGCGCATCTTAAATAAACGTTATTTAGGGTATGATTTATTATTTAGAACTGTTTGGAACACATTTCTCCACGAAATCAAGTGTACTTTCAATATACTATCATATAATATTTATATTATAGTATATATATTTTTCAATATATATAATTCAACATAATAACAAAGATATATTTATATTATATCTTTCAATATATATAATTCAATATAATATTTTGGTGTCCCAAAAATGTCTCGCAATCCGAAAGTGGCGGGTTCCTCGGGTCTTTCGAAGCAACTTTTTCCTTTACAAAAATGTTCTCCGAGGCACCGTTAACGAGTTATTAACGAGAAACAGTGACCAACAAGAGGCGAGCTCGGCTGGCGCAAGGCGACCGAGCCAATGAGCGGAACCGGGCTTCGCGCGCTGGTTGGCTGGGCCGCCTCGCGTCGGCCGTACTCGATTCTTATTGGTCACTGTTTATCGTTAATAACTCGTTAACGGTGCCTCGGAGAAAATTTTTGTAAAGGAAGAAGCTGCTTCAAATGATCCGAGGAACAGCCTGGGACAGTTTTTGGGACACCCTGCATGCATCATATTTGGTATCTATTGAATGAACTATTAGAAGATGCTACTAAAATGCGATACGAACACGTTTACCGGTTAGTGGCGGATGCGTTTGGACGAAAGAGAATGCGAACTATTGAGAGAGAGTCATTTCATATTTATAAAAACCGAGCAGTTTCACCGGAGGAGCATAGTCACTGGTCATTGAAGCGGGTAACGATGCATCTAGCAAAGATTGGAACCGTAGTCGACGTGAGACGATCGCGGCGGACGGGACACATGATTCA